CGCTGCCACGCAACGGGTGCCGCTGAGGTGAGTGAGCGGCGCGCGACGTCACCCGTCGCCCGCGCTGCCGCCGCCTCCTCGCGACTCCTTGCCGGGCCCCGCGGCCCTGCGTTGCCTCCCCGCGGGGGCTGGGGCGGGCCGGCAGGTGCCGCAGCCCGGAGCAGCGGCCTCGCGGGGTCACGGCCGGGACAGGGACAGGGACAGGGATGGCCTCTCCCCCACCCTTAGGTGGGGCCGGGGGCGCGGGCGGCCGTCTGTGCGGGGTTGGCTGTCGGTTCGCGGAAGAAATGTTTTGCGCGGCTTTGAAGGCCCCAGCTGCGCTTGTGCTGGCGCGGGGGGTACGCTCGCTCCCCGCTAGGTCCCTCGGTCGTCCTTGTCTCTGAGCCGAGCCAAGCCGGGGCCCGGCGAGGCTTGCTTCCTGCAGCCGACAACGCTGTCAGGGGAAAAACAACCAGGGGTTGGGTCGGGCTGCCAGGGTCCTGGCAGCCCCTTTGCTGGAGCTGCCTGGCCTGCCTGCCCAAGGTGGGTGCAAGGGGCGCAAGCTCCATCAGGCCTCTCTGCGCTGACACCAGGACTTCTCCCTCCTGTCATCGCCCCCCCCCCTCCGCGCTCTTTCTGGATGTTTTTTCAGACTTGCCCTGGGCAAGCCTGGGGGTGGGCAAAAGGCACCCCACGGAGCAATTATGTTGGACCTACTGGGGGGGGCAGTGATGGCCAGTCATGCCACCCTTGGGCGCACAGCAGGGCTGGGGCGGTGCAGCAGCTAGACTCTGTTTCCCGGTAGCAGTTCCTTCCAGCTGCTGACCCAGCCCTACTGCCAGAACAGTCCATCCCATAGGCACCATCAGGCACAGGCCCCATGTGGGCAGGGCATGCAGCTGTGATGGGAGTACAGGCCAGCAGGAAGTAACATTGTAGAGTGAGATGGGCAGCTGGGGCCAGACAGACCCTGGGATCTTGGGGTGGTGGCAGCACAGGGCCAGGGCCCACAGTCTGCTGCCCGCACGCCCCTGTGTGCGGGGGGGGTGCCATGGCTCTGCCCTGACCCTCGCCTGGCCCTATGCTGTCACTGCCCAGAGATCCCAGACCTGGCCCCGGCCCCGACCACAGCTCTCTGCCTGCCTGCAGCTCCATTGTGTCTGTCCATATGGCTCCTGTTCATTCGGTCTCTGTGGAGACCCCAAGATCGCAGGGTGGTGACAGCACAGGGCTGGGACATAGCCCCTGTTCTATGGGTGGGGCCATGCGTGGAGTGCATCGTGGTGTTTCCCTGGCCTCGCAGTGTTACCACCCTGCAATCCTGGGGTCTCCATAGAGACTGGCAGGTGGATGGGATGGGGCTGTGGGTGGTAGGGAGCTGCAGCTGGGGCCAGGATCTTGGGGTGGTGATAGTGAGGAGCTGGGGCAGAGCTGCAACCTGTTCCCTGTGTGCCCCTACCTATAGAATGAGTGCCCATCACAGGGGCATAGGGACAATGGATCACCTCTGACCTGGGTCCTGGCCCGTGTTGGCACCGCCTCATGACCCCACCCCAGGATCCCAGCCTTGCCTGTCCTGTTCCCAAACACCATTCCCTGCCTGCCTGCCTGCCTGCGGTCCCATCTCCATACAGAGTTTTAGTAACTCTTGGGGTGGGGTGGGGTGTGGGAGTGCTGACCTGACCCACAACAGCTCAGCAAAACTCTCTGTGTTGTCTGTGGGCCCAAATAATTGCCCACTTGTGCGCTGGCCACTGCTCCAGACTTGAAGCTGTGTTCTAAGTGTCTTGCGACTGGAAAGAGTTTAAATTATACATTGGTGTTGTCGAGCTGTCCAACTCAAGAAACATTATTGCTGCTGTTCTTATTTTTATTGTTGTTCTGAAAGCTGTAAGTAGAAGCCAGATAGCCGTGGAAGGCCAGTGGATAACTAAAGCTCCTTCTAGCAGAATATTATCATCATCTTCATTAGCTTTGCCTGCCTAGGGGCGGTTTTAATAGCAGCAATGAAGCTAACTAGAATCTTGTTAATTTGCATTCCATACTGACAAAGTGACGATACCCAAGGAACATGGGAGAGGGTAGGATATAAATCTAAATACTAATATATATTTTGCAGATTGTGGATAGGACTAGTATGTCATTTTTCTTTCCATTTGGCTTTGGAAGATTGCAAAGCAGCTAGAAAGTTGTTCTTAAATAGTCACCTCCACTTACTTCAGCAACATTTGAAATGCAAGAAGGGAAATGAGAAACATGAAGCTACAATATATATTTTCTTAAATAATGATTGGAGTGAATATTAAAAACGTTTTGAGATCTTAATTGGAAGTTACCATATCTTGCTGCTTCATCTTTTTGTTATAGGGCTTGTCTAATGCATATCTTTGCTTTATTTTAGTATTTTTAGTAGCGCTGATAACCTTTTTAGGCCAAGGGTGCAATAGAAGTGGGTTATTTAGTTTCAGATGCAAAGGGGACATGTATTGTCACCTAACAGTGGTGTATATGGAGGTGATGATTTCTAAAAACAGCCCTGTCAACTTTTTTGTTCCCTTGGGCTTTGAGTAATGCAGAACCACAACTGAACTGAAGGGCTTTCACTGTAAAATTGCATTATCATGATACCTTATACAAAGGTTGACCTACAATCCAGAGGACGCTTTACCTGAGAGTTATATGTAGTTTATCAGCTTAAATGATGTTTTCTATTTTCAGTTTAGGAGGACAGCTAAGGTATTTAAAGCTAGCCTTTGTGAGGATCAAAGATTTCTTAGGTAATATCATTTATCAGACAAACTAGAGTACTATTCTTAGTAGGTTATGCCTGGCTTGTTCTGGTTGGACCTGAATAAGGCATTCAAGAGCTTGTCTAACAGTCCCAACTCTACAGTTAGCCCAGTAAAAGATACAGTATTGCCCTAAGAAGTCTTAGCCTCCTATAATTTCTACACCATCACAGCTATAGGATCACTCTTGTACTGCCAAAGCTAAGCATAGTTATTTGAAAGAACGGGAAATTTAGCATGGTTCATAGGGAGCTCTAATGTGAATTTTGAGATTGAGAAGGAAAAAGCTTACTTAAATACAGTATATTTATTTTATCTCCATAAATTTTTTATGTTCTTCATAGGTGACATGTAACTTCCTGTCCATAAGCATATTCATAAGGAATGCTCTTGGCACACCTTGATAAGTTACTTTGGCCAAAACAGCGGTTGCTTCTTGTAAAATACCTGTAAGTAAAATAAGTGTAGCATGTTAAACTAAAGATGACTTGCACAGTTTTTGGTTTCTGATCATGACTTGTATGTATTGATTGTAAATAGACAATATGATTAATCTAATTTCTTGTATTAAATAGGCTGGTTTATATTGATATTGAAATATGCTGAAGTAGTTGAAAAGGTTATAGAAGTTTGGTTCACTTATTACTTGTTTTGCAGAAATGGCAGCACAGAAAAGGAAGTCTACACTACTAGAACCTTCTGCTAAACGTCCAAAGCTGGATAAGAACAGCAATTTAGCTTCAACAAAGAAAGAAAGAGAGGTTTCAGGTACAAAACATGTCTCAAATAAATCAAAGCCAAATAAAGCTGCAGTGCAAGAGAAAACACTCAAAGCACCTACCAAACTAAACAGGTCAGTGGTAAGTAAAGACAACAAAAATTGTACTAGGCCTTCTTCCCACACTAAACCAGTGCAGAAACAACCTAAACAGAGTGAAATTGACTTAAACAGAAGATCCTGTAAAATAGGACCTGTCAGAAGATCAACTCTAAAATCATTAAGTATGGTATCTTTTACAAAGTCACCCTCCAAAACTTCAAAAATGAACCATACTAGTTTCTTGAAATCTGCAAAGACCTCTTCCAAAACGAGTCCTGAAGGAAAGAATAATTCTACACAAGGAAAGGTCTCTGAAAGCAAGAGACAGCAGCAATTAAAAACAATTTCAAATGATAAAAAGCATTCATCTGAAACCCAGAGTAGTAGACGTCCTGTCTTGCAATGTGTAAAAACATTAAATACAGCGCTGCGGAGAAATTGTGTAGAAATGAAATCTGTTAAAGACCATTCTAAAGAAAATACATCTAAAAGCTCTAAAGATGTAAAAACTGATAGAGATTTAGAACTAGACGTTAAGGGTACTAAAAAGAATCTTGCAAAAAAGTCATCTTCTCAAGAAGCTGAACAACAGTTGGATAATTCTATTAGTGGTAACACAGATGAACCTGAATTAGGGATGCGTATGACTACAAGATCTTCAAGCACCAACTCTAACAATAAAAATGTACAGCAACAACCAAAAGCCACAATAAATAAGGAAGTGCGCCAGAAAAAATCTATAAAAGAAATTTCTAAGTCAAAAAGTACAGTTACCCCAAATGAACAACAGATGAGGAGGTCACAGAGATTGCAGCAGTTATCAGAAGTGCCAGCAAGATCACTGCGTAACAGAGACATTAAAGAAGGAAAAGTTTCAGAAACGAAACAAGGCACCCAGACGAAAAAACATGATCAAGGTGTTGAAGTTGAAACGTTTAAACCTGGTAAGCAGAAAATAGAGCAGAAAAACATAAAAATAAAACTTGATTGTACAAATGAAGATGGAAAAATACTTAAAGAAATAACTAGCTCTCCAAAAGAGAGTAAGTGTAAAGTAGACCATAAAAACAAGGATACCAGTGGTTCCCAACATAGCCATCAGGGCTCACGGTCACTTATGGATAATAATCTTCAGCAAGAAGTTAAGAAAGAAAAAGCAGACACCAAGTCTCCTATTCCTTGCCATGTGAAAAAAGTAGATGTGGTAAGCCCTTTTCGACCAACTTCTGTGACAGAAAATAAGGAAGAGCAACCAGTGCATCAGAATGGAAAAAGCAGTGTAAAAGTTAAGAGAGTTTCACAGCCACCAGTAAACAAAGCAGATCAAGGCCATCAGCCAGAGAACACTGAGAAGTCCAAACGTGTAAGCATCCTCGAACTCTGTGAAGAAATTGCAGGTGAGATTGAGTCGGACACTGTTGAGGTAAAAAGAGATTCTCCTAACACTGAGTATGAAAAAAGAGAAGAGAAGCATGCAGAAGAACAGCTGCGACAGACTGAAATACTTACTCAGAAGGAACCCAATCAAAGCACTCAGTGCAAGAGGTTCTTCCCTAGCAAAAAAGGAATGCCTGTCAAATGTACACTGAATGGCAGAAATAATTCCACAAACAAAAACTCTAAGTGGACCAAAATTAAACTATTGAAAGCTAATCACATGAAGCAAAGTAATTTAAAATCTGCAAGTGTTTCCACACTTGCTTTGTTAAAAATGAAATCTACAGTTGCAGAGATGAGTCGAGTGCCAGCTATGGAAATGCAGCTTTCAAAAGCTCCAGTCAAATTGCCAGTGACAAAAGCATATGAGGATGAAAGTAAAACTTGTTTGCGGGAGAAATCGGAAGTTTCTTCTGAAGGAGCTAAAGCTAAAGATGTGACATCAGGAGCAAAACAACTCACAAAAAGAGTTGCTGAAAATGGCTTGGATAATTTGACAAAACAATGTCCTGAGCCAGCCCCAGATGAGGTGAGCCATTTTAATTATGGGATGTGGAGGGAGGTTCTGGTACCTAACAATGTTAGTCTCATGTAACCAACTTTAACAGTAATATTTTGTATAGCTGTGACACTCAGTGCAGAAACCTTAAGCTAATAAGGTTTGTGTTGCATTACATTTTAAAGACAAGAAGGTATACTTCAAATAGGAAAACTAGTCTTTATGCTTTATTAAGGACAGTAGTTTCAAAATCGTTCTCTTCCAGTATTTCAGGTATACTTTTTGACAAACAGAACTATTCCACAACTGTTCTATGTTAAAAGTGTACTTTGAGGAACAGACAAAGTACACTTGGTCTGGATTAATCTCAATTTTGTTAAATGTATTAAGTTTTAATGACACATTTAAAAATGTTTTATTTCTGAATAAGTTTTTATAGGCATTAAAATGTGTGATTTAACTACATTTTGCTAATTTATAATGCCACAGGCATATACATGTGGAAATTTATACATGAGTTTGCTTATCAGTTTATTAAGCAGCCTCAAAGAGGGGATAAAAAGCATTGAGCAGTACTCAACTTGGAATTAAGAATTAGTAGAAAGAGGTGGAAGGAATGTGTGAGATGAAATATTTTCATCTTGTATGTTCTGACATAATTATTTTTAGAGTTTCAGCCTGCATTTGGATTCAAGCCCAGAAAGTTCTCCAGCAAAAAGTATTGCAGTACCTCCACCACCAAAACAAGCCAAGAAAGAGGCAGGAGAGTGTCAATCTCAAGGTAAAAAAAAAAAATCCTTAAATTCCACGTCACTTTTAAGTATTTATTTATTTATTTTGCTACTAATGTCAAAGGAAAGGTTGTTATTTTTTTGTAATATGAATAGAAGATGTAAAACTTACCTGGTAATATAAGTAAAAAATACAGTATCAGTGAACATTCGTCAATCCACAGCCATATCCTCAGTAATAACATAGCATGTAATTGTTTTTAATCATGTATAAGTGACATCTTTTAACTTGTTTTTTAGCTCTTAAATTTCACTAACCACAAGTTCTTGTTGAATAGCAGAAATAAATTAATTACTCAGAGGTGCCACCAATGCATCGGTCCAATATCGGATCGGCACCGATATCAAGAAAATCGACTGTATCGAAAATCAACTTTTTTTTGCCTGATGTGGCCAATAATGTGGCCAATAAGTACCCCGTGCATGCAGCATGTAGGTGGTGAAGAGCATAGCCCAGCAGCTTGGAGAGTTGTGTCTGGCTGGTAAGCCTGTTGTGGTGGCAGGTGAGGGGGAAGAAAAGGGCATAGTGGGGGCAGATCAGGGCCCCTGTGGTGAGGGGGGGAGTGGGGCAGGGGTAGGCGCTGCACAGCCGAGGCGGGGTGGGACGCAAAATGGAGCTGCAGCTATTCCAGGGGGCCTCAAGGAGGGTGAGTGGCTCCTGCCGCTGCATGAACCCTGGGAGGGCATGGGGGGCATGTGTCCCTCCGGATCTGTGCAGGGTGAGATAGGCTGCCTCTGTGGGCTGGAGTT